ACTCGCTATTTTAATATGTGAAACAACATATTATTATAACCATTTGTAATATTTCTACAACAATGACAACAACTAAGAGTCTCTCTAAAAAAAATACTTTACACACATTTATAATTTTTAAGCAAGTTTATATGTCTAACTCATTGATAAAAAGGTTGTGAAGAAGTACGACATAGCTGTTTGCATTACCTTAAAAAATATCATCATATTATAATATTATTATATAAAGCTGTTGTGCAAAACACTTTTCATGCGTATTAGACAAACATACCGAGCTGAACGTTTCTACCGACATGACCGCCATGTTTTCGGCAGTGAGTACGCAAGGCTCAAGAGTCCTATGAAGCAATATGCTTAATAATTTTGTTGTTTTCGACGAAAACATATACCATCGCGTATTGTATCTACAAGATAAAAATGTTTCATATAATCGAATTCTTATAGTGACTGTACGAACAAATTGTACGTGCAATTATAACCAAGATCATATATTGAAATAGCGTTGTCATTTTGGAATAATCATAGCAGTAATGTAATTTAAACAATAATGCAATTAAAACATGATTTTGATACTTGCGCCTTGTCGAACAGTTCTTCGCTTTTATTCGCGAGTAGTTGCCCTGGTATACACATAGTAATTAGATGAGTGGTCGCTCCTATAGCTATGAATCCAAATCTTATCATTTCCTCGGTTTCTCCCAACTTACTTAGAATCTACAATGTATATGATTTTAAAATTATTTTAATTATTTTAGTTTTTTTATGCTTTATGTTTGTTCTTTCATAATTCAAAAAGAAATACGAATAATTGACTGCAGTAATTAGATTTTCATTTAATTGATAAATTAATATCAACTTATATTTCTCCCATATATGGTGTGACTGTATACAGTGTCCCGCAACGTGATATCCATAGTGTATTCTTAGTGTCATTCTAAGTCGAAGTCTTAGTACACATATGCCTTAAAGTCGATTGTTTAAAGTTACAGCGAAAAAACAAAGTTGCATAAAATAAGAACAGTATTATGTATTAATGATAATAATATTATTTATTGAACGATAATATTAAATATATAATTAAACTACTTATAATTGTGCGATAAGGTAAATCATAAAGGTGTTTTTCTCACCCTAGTCGGTAAAGTAAGGCATACATTGAATCCTTAAGAAATAAGCCAATTCCACACGCTAAACAGCAATCAAAAATCGAATCTTCGTGACTGGCATTACAAAAAACAATTACCTACGTTGTCATAGTAAAAAATAAATAATAAATAAGTATGCAAATAATTAATTAAAAACTTACAAATAAATAAATAAGTAAATAATTATTTTATTTTTTCGCTAAACTTCAAAACAATCGACTTTTTAGGAATAATATGTATATTAGGACTGTATTTAATTAAGTATTACTTTTTGACTTAGACTTAGAATACCATAAAAAAATACACAGTTATTTCAATATGGACATAACGTTGCGGAGGACGGTTCTGTATATATATGTATGTATGTGTGTATGTGTATATATACATTAAACTTTATTTTATTATTACTTATATACATATATTACATTTCATATATATAATATATGTATATACATATATAATTATGTATACATACATAAAAGTATAAATATGTGTGTATAGGTATGTGTAAACTCGAAATTTCTTAAATTTCCTTATAATATTTTAATAATTGACACATGGTGGTTTACTTGTAATCCAGATAAACTCAGAATAATTATATTTAGAGCCAAGATAATAACGTCACAGTTGTAAATGTAGATTCTATCATGTCAACGAATCTAAAAGATAATGAAAAATCATGATATACGAAAAATTTAATGTACATTATATATATTTATATATAATTATGGTAATCGTAATTGAATAATATTACAAAAGTTATTATTAATGATAAAATTTTTTATAAGTACGACTCTATGCATTTGATGTTTTTTCAAGCATGCAATCATTTTGTGATATTCAGAATAATGTTCTTTTATTTCTAAATGTTTTTGGGGCATCTCGTCTTCTATATGTTCAGTTTTGTCGTGAATATTTTCAAGACGGATACTTGAAAAAACACATAAGATATCAAAATCACAGATAATCTGCATCGAGATATTTTTTTTAAGCTGGAATAACTATCTAATGACTTGATTGAAATTAAAGTAAATATATTTACTCCATATATTGCAAATCGATCACTTACCCTAGACTCAAATAAACTACAACTGTGTAACACACACACTATATTTATGGTATCACAATTCACCATACATCTAGTACCATTATAATACAAATTAAACAATGGAATAAAATTGGATAATAATATTCCACTTTGTCTACTCCCCATTCTCCCCCACAAATAAATATATATGGCCGTGACTCATTCAATGGTATTATCAAATCTAGAATTCTTGGCTTTAACGGTATTAAGAAAAACACTGCAACTATTATGTTAATGTATGCTGCAAAAAGAATACACATTGCTGCAATAAACCTATTATGTCTAATCATTTTTATAATATAAAAATGTTTTCCAAGCTTGATATATTTTTGGATTTCAATCAACAGATATTCGAAATAGTTGATTATTAAATTAGAGCTTGTTTAATACACTTATGCGACTTAAAATTAGTTATCTAAACACCTGAATAATATTTTGTCACTAGCTGATTAATGTTACCATAATATCTCAAAACATGAAGCTCGCATTTGCTTTGAAAGAGTTGCCAATGATCCTCCATCATTTCTAATAAATTTTTCACCTAACAATAAAAAAGAAAAAAAACAATAATATAGGGTAAAAATAAATTGCTGAACACTTATAATTAATAATTTGTTTTAATTTCGTGAACACAGCAAATGCAAAATTCAATAATATATGGAACGTAAAAATTAAAGCCCATTGATCTTTGATCTTATCTTTGATCGAATTGTGCTTATGATTTTATCTTATTATGTGTGTTAATATACATACATTACAATATACATATATGGTATATGCATATATGATATACCTATATGTATATCACCAGCTGCGATTCTTGTGCGGAAGGGGGATTGAAGTTAAATCCCCCTCGCAAATTAAAGAAAATTTGTCGTTGGTCCTGGTAAAAGCTAAGCATGAGACAAAAATATTAATTAAATAATTTAGCAGATTCCTCCCTCTCTTATTATTGATGTCAGGATCCACTAGTGATATACATATATATTCACAGGTGTCTGGTAATTCGCGCTCGACCCTCAGGTATAAGTAGAACAGGTTAAACCTAGTCTTCACATATTTCGATATTTGCAATAAATAATGAAAAAATAATTGAAAAAGATCGGTCAATTCGCGCGGTCTTCAAGCGTGCTATGTTAAAAATTGGAGATTGTATAAAATGTTTCTCTTATTAATATTCTTCATTAAACATTATTCGATTTACACACTCACCAAAATTAAACTTACCTTGTTGTTATTTATAACAATGTTTAAATATTTTACAACGGATCCAATAAGAAGAATATTATTAATTGTAGCTTCGACAGTCAAAGTCATGTCACCCCAAGCAATGTATAGAAAGGATACCTATAAATTAACATTATCAATCGGCAATATACAATACTGAGAAAAAGAGAAAAGTCTATGGCGAAAAATATTTGTTAAAAGAAAGTCGATTGCTTGATAATATTTTTTAATTTATCTATGACATAGTAATGATACATGTATACAATTGTTCTTTTGCACAAATAACATGCTCGTGCATTACCTGAGTTGCCCAACCAGTGCTTTGAATGATTAATAAGAGATACAGGGATGATGTGTTTTATCATCTTAGACTGATAAGGCCAAATACCCAACATTGACAAGAAGAATTTATTTCTAGAGTAATATTTTAACATTTCTCCGTGCATGTTGTAAAATAATTGGGAGACTGATGCGACACTTCGTGGTAGATATAGACTGCGGAAAATGCAAAGCGAATGCAATGGAAAGAATAATTATCGTTACAATAATTTCGGGTTGTCAGTATTGAAAACGTTTACGTTACAAAAACCTTTGTCACGATAGATGGATATTCGGTTTATGAGAATTGTCACTGTTCGATATTAAATATTTATCTTTTACAGCAAGAAATATTTCTAAATGTTTCTCGACAACCCAAAATTATTTTCTATAGACTAAATGAAATATTCTCTTGGTGCATCGTTAAAAGTAGAATTCCATCGATGAAAAGCACCTCTTTTTTGATTAAAATTTCACTTTTCGCAGCGAGAGGGTTCGACGTCTCGACAACCCGCAATTATCATAATAACATCTTTCACGGTATTACTTCCGCTCTATATTTTTTCCATAATCGAGATATGAGTATTCAGTCTCGCAATTGTTTTTAAACATACAACAGAGCGTATTATACTATTAAAAATAATTCTTCTTACAAATGTTTAATTTTATCAATAAGAATTTTTCGTATAAAGAAAAAATGTGTAAATTATAAAATTTAAAATGAATTTCTTTAGAATAAATTCTGAAATATAATCTATTTAATTGATAAACTATTGGAGCAATCTTTCTATAACATTTGCAGGATGACCGAAAACATATATACTATGTACGCGTACTATACGTTCAACATTAGATACATATATTATGTCTATTATAGTAATTCGATTTTTGGAAATGAGAAATAGGAGTTCTCTAAATATAATGATTTTGTGAAAGTGTACATTACCATCTCATTTTTTCATGGTAATTATGTGTTATTTGATATGAAGATATATATATATATATATGTATAAGTATAGTATACATATAAGTATATAATGCAAATGTTTTTTCCAATTTTCCGAAAATTTTTATTTTTATTTATGCACATATTTTTTATAGGAAATTTTTTATTTCCAAAAGTCTCAATGTCAAAAAATTATATAAATTGTAATTAAACATCAAATTTAAATAAAATTTAAATTTAAATAAAACATTATATTCTAAATATTTCTTTTGTTGTTTTTAAAGGCAAAAAATCTTCGATTTTACAATTAGGAGATTTTGAAAAAAAAAACAATTTATTTTTAATTTTTTTATATAGATAAATCTGATTAAAATTTTTTAGATATTTTTTCTAATTTGATAATCTTTTAAAAAATTGCACACATGTACGTTTTTCTATTATTTATTAATGAAAATTATAAATCTATTATTAATCTTGACAAAGTGTGTTGCGAATATATTCAATATTGCACAATAAACCGGTGATAAACCGGTAATGTGAGAAATAAAAAATTTTCCTGTATAAAAAATGAGCGCAAATTTCTAATGATTAATTTATTTATAATGAGTTCCCGGAAACACATAAAAACGATTTTATATAATAGAATAGAATTACTTCGAATTTAACATCATTCATCTTGTTATTACTTAATTGCTTCTCTGTTATACCACACAAATACAAATACAAATATCTTTATTTTCTCTACTTGTATTTTAATTATTTTTATTATGATATTTTATTGTTATAATATTACTAACGTTTGAATAGGCTCCTTATTGTGACAATATTAGAGAACTTTAAATATCTTAAAAATAAAAATTTAAATTATGCGCTTATACTATTATGTACTTTTCTTCTGTTACTTCTGTAAGTATATGAAGTAACTAGTGTTTTTTGTATATGGATTTTCAAATAATATTTATTATATTAATTAGTTAAGAAATTAAAAGTATTCTTTCGTTTTATATTATTACTTATTTGATTATAATTTTCTTAACCTCGTTGCTATAGTTGACAAGAGAAAAATGTATAGAAAATTATTTTAGTTTACACAAATTTCATAGCTTTTGGAACCTCTATAATTCTATTAAATTAGAAATTAGAAATCGAACGTGAATAGTGGCATATAAGAAAATTAATGTAATTTGACTTACATATAGTGTAATAATTAGACTAATACTAAATATAGACTAATATTGTGAAGCTACCATTATGTGCAATAAAATTAAAAGCTGATTAATTAAAACTATTATTATGATTTTTACAATTTTAAAAGGAAATAAATTTGACAACTGTTCCAGTTTTAATAAAAATGTATTATTCGCTTACGCATTATACACATAAAATGCCACACATTGATTTTGACGATTATTCGTCTTTGTCATATATCTACGATCACTTTCAAATGCGTATGATTCAGCCTACAAACGTAAAAATAAAGTACATAGACACGGGATTCTTAATATTAAAGAGGCCACTAAATTTATTCTATCATGGATCATCTGAGTATTAAATTAACATATAACTTGTCAATATTTTTACATCACATTTCTTGAGTGGTGTTGTTTAGCGTATAAAACTCAGTACAACAAACGTTGCACAATTCGTGATGAGTATGACAAAAAAAAGGAAAAACTTGTAATTCATAAATGATTGGCACGTTGGATGAGAGCGCGACGATCAGTTGGGATACTGATAAACAGTGTTATCAAGATTATAGAAAGCTATCTGCTCGTCGATCCATCGGCGTGCGTGAGCTACATTAGCATAAACTCCAGGAGTTCCATTTCCCCGCAACCAAGTCCCCAGGCCACGATTCCAGCTTGAACGTATCTGCTCGGATCGTTCTTTAAGGGACATACTAAGGGACTTCCACCGTCACCCTGCAAAAAAAAATTCGAATAATTATTTCTTTGTCTAACGTAAGATACGAAGTAGGGAGGAACAATCTTGGCAAAAAAATTATTGGGAATTGTAAGAAACTTGAATTATAAGTATAAATTGAATTATAAGTATAAATAATATACTTATATGTATAATATAGCATTTGCATTTACATAAATATAGTTATACTTCAATATTTGTTTTTAAAAAAATTACAAGATACGATCGCCAACGTAAAAATTAAAAAAAAATCTTCCTCAAATGGTAAAAGTCGACCAAACTGGCAATCATTTATTATAGATAATTAGTTAAAATACAACGTTTCGGCTGTCATTGCAGCCCTTTTCAAGTAAATCTATAAAAAATTACATAAAAATAATTATAATTTAATACATTTCATCGCAACAATTAATTATAAATTTATATACAAAAATATGTTACATATCAAAAGTAAATGCAAAATAAATTAATACAGTAAGTTGTATATGAAAGTAATTTGTATATGAATTTATAATTAATTGTTGCGATGAAATGTATTAAAATTATAATTATTTTTATGTAATTTTTTATAGATTTACTTGAAAAGGGTTGCAATGACAGCCGAAACGTTGTATTTTAACTAATTATCTATAATAAATGATTGCCAGTTTGGTCGACTTTTACCATTGAGGAAAGATTTGTATTAATTATTACTGGCGAACCTTAAGGATTATTATCTGTAAAAATTAAAATAAAAATTTGAGCAAGAATTAAAATAAAAATCAAGATTCTTATTACACGAATCTTCGTAATCTTGAATCCCTAAATCATTATATATAATTCTAAAGTAAAAATAAGATAAATTTTATAGAATAACTGTTTATACATATTAATATTACAGATATGTAAATTATAAAGAAATTTTCGTGAAAGATTGCCTCAAAAAAATTTACCTTGCAAGTATCTTTCCCTACTTCTCCACCCGCACAGATGAAACTTCTATCCAGAACAAAATATTTCCCCAGTCTAGTGGTACGCATGATACTTTGGCATGTATCGTGAGTTACCACAGGAAGATTAACTCTCTTTAAGATCACTTGATAGCGCCCCTCTTTGCCTGTAATTAAATATCAACACAACGAAATTATATTTTATGTACTTTCACTAGTTCAGAATCTAATCTCTAAATTATTAATGATACCATTGTCAGTCACAATACGGACGATTAACCGAAATTATTTTCTACAATCTTCAGTAAACTTTAATTTACAAATATATGAAGATGGAAAATTGAAAATTATAACAGTATTTTGTCTCTTTGTCATATATTTTAAAAAATATATGATTATATAAATTAAATTATATTTTACTAATAATCATAAAGATAATTTATTAGCGTTGCAATTATATGTACGTACGTATTATGCTAAAGATATTTTAATTAAGAGATTCGATCAATTGACAATCTATTTCTTCGTGCTTTTGCACATTGCTTACCGAATACGTCTTTTCCCCATCCGCTGGCAAAGCATCTCGATCCGTCAAAATGTTTATTCCGTTCCGGTAGACAAACGATATCTACGTTCTCTGCATATTCGACCGGGGGTTTTTCAATATCAGTATAGCATAATCGTTGTAAAGAGCGCCGGAATGGAAGTTCTCGTGAACTACAACTTGCTCGACGTCGCGGTCTTGGTGCGGATAGATCTCGTTTTTCGTTTGCGTGTCCCATTCTCCAGCGCGGACTTTGAGTTCTTGCGGTTGTTTTCTGTTGATCGAAATGTATTGTTAAATTAAAAAAACAATGAAGGAAAAGCACAATAAGCAAAATGCTATTTATTTAAATATAATATGAATTTTCGCTGTTATAAATGGAAACTCACATTATATCCAAAATAAATGTTATATTTTGATTACAGAAATAAGAATAAATAGTACTTATCTTCCGTACTTGAGGTGAAAATTTATTTCGAACAAAGTTAGCAAAATTTAAAGGCTATCTATTCTTCAATCGTGATCTTCAAAAAAATAGTTTTAAATGAGGCAGAAGAAATAACAATTAGCCACAAATGTTATCGCGTTAAGACAATTAAATTTCAATATTAATTAATTTAGAACACAGAGATATTATGGATACTTTCGATAATTCGTTTTGTTTGACAAATGAATATATTAATTAAATTACGTCGAGAACTAAAATATTACTTCAAAATAAGTTTGTCTCAAGTGCTATGGTATGAGAAAAATGTAGAAATAAATGTTATTTCGAATCTTTTAAATGCAAAATAAGATAATAAATATTATTTATTATTATATAAGAATAAATAGTATTTCTTTCCATCTCATTAAGATTTTTTTGTTCAAGATCACGATTAAAGTATAAATGGGCATAAAATTTTACTAACTAAGGTTATCAATATGACGTTGTTATTTTTATTATCGTATCGATATGTTTATATAACAAGTCGACTACTGACCCATTAATGCAATGAGCCGCAGTGAGAACGGCTTGTCGGTGGATAAGTGCACCGCCGCATTGATAAACATTCAATTTTTGACCGTTTTCGCCAATTGCCTCTTTTTCAAAATAGCCACCATCCACGGAAACTCGCCAAACTGTGCCTCGTTATCGGTCTGTCCGGTGATCCTAAAACCGACTCCCTCAGCATGTCGTTGTCCACATCCGGTTCTACCGATCGGTGGCGGTGTGGCTGGTGGCTGTAGATCCGGCGGTTTGCAACAAACGTCCAAGTAATTCTCGCATGGTCCAAGAGTTCTAAATAGCCAATCAAATAATTATATAAACATCAAGAGCGATTATTCTCGATTAATTTCATAATAGGAATTAGCGAAACAATCGTTTATTCACATATAAATATAAGCAATTAAAAAAGTCTGAAGAGCATCTATAAGATATTTAATGAATATCTGAAACATGTGTGTTGTTTCTGCTCTTTTAAATATTGGATTACCTGTTGTGATTGCAATGTTTTTTTTTATTTCGCTAATATATCGACAATTTGTTAATTATTTTGTATATTAAAAGATTATAATCTAAACATTTTGTGACACCATTTAAATAATTTGACAATTACTTTTTAAAAATATTATTAACAATAAGTCCTCTCATTAAAAGAAATTATGAGCAATGAGCAATTATCTTTTCCCATAATTGTTTTTTTTCACAACTTACCCATCGTGACATACATTCTTAAATAACAATAGAAATAATTTATTAGCAGACCAGACAGATAACCAATTATACATTCTTATCATATGACACATAATATTGAATAGAACTTAGAGCAAATCCAGATGAGTTTTATTCGATTAGTATCCAAAGGATCAATCGCGTAAATAATTAGATGGCATGCTTAAATAATCAGTTTGAAATTAAAAACGACAGTACATTTGAAAATTATAATAAATCATAGTATTCATTATATAGACAAACAAGGTGGAAGCATCTACATATAATGTACATGTATACAGATTCAGTCACACACACAGAGTTAATATTTTTCTTTAATTGTGTAATTTAAATATTACAATTACATGAAATTTTATTACTCACCATTATAAAAATTAAAGAGCTACTATTTTTCGAATATTGTACTCTCGATAAACCATAATCGCCGTGTAGAATATATTTATAATTACGTTGTCACATTATGAATGCATAGCATTGCGTCGAGAGCTGAACACTGTACACGTATAACAAAAGAAATCGAAACCGTTCAGCAGCATTGATGTGTTATTACTTCCGCTTTCCTTCTAACGCAATCATGTCCTCCATGTGTAACTCAAATCACTTATTGTAATTATCATACTATAAATGCATTTTATGCATTCAAAGACTATGACTATACATTGTACATTATAAGACACAAATACCATGATAGACGTCTTTTGTCAATTTACATAAAGAAATTGTGCTAAAAATTGAACTTTAAAAACGTATAAAAGAAAGAGCGTTTTTACAATAATTTACACAAACGATTATGTAATTAAACTATAATATTAAACTATATCTTACAACAAAAAGAAAATTAAATATTTTGATAATATTACACTATTATTACTTTATATAAAATAGACAATAATTATATAATTATATTAAAAAATAGAATTTGAACATCTTAAATTTGAATACGTAAATATACATTTAAAAATAAGATACGAGAGAGGAGAGATTTCAAAGATACTACAGGTTTTGTCGTCCGGAAAGTAATGCGTCGCATTTTTTTAAAAAAGAATTTATTGATCGCATAGGTAAAACAACTTAAAATTGTTCGAAGTATGACCCTTCTGCGTCAATACATTTTTGCCAACGCGATTTCCATGCGTCATAAGATTTCTGGAACTCCTTGACTGGGATGCTGTTCAGGGAGGCCGTCGAAGTAGCTTGTACGTTGTCACCGACTCGAGCTGTTGTCCTTTGAGCTCCCTTTTCAGCCGAGGAAATAAAAAAAAGTCCGCCGGGGCCAAGATAACGTGTTCAGGAAATTGGGATTATCTGCACAGAGTTGCTTGAGTTCTTCACAAACTTCCACTCGGTGTTGCTTTGCGCATCGGTCAACACTCCGGCACAAGTTTTGCGCCAAATCTTCCGCATGGCCAAGTCTTCCGATACAATCTCGTGAACAATCGTTTTCGGCAAGTTCAATAATTCCGACATTAAGCGAACATTCATTCGACGGTCTGAATTCAATAATTGGCGCACACGAGTCACATTGTCGTCCGTTCGCGATGTTGACGGGCGTCCTGCGCGGGCCTCGTCGGCGACCTCCTTCCGACCTTCTCTAAACATCTTGTGCCATCTGTTTGACTGCGATTGGAAAGGCAATCGTCCCGAAAACTTTCTTGAGCATTTCAAAAGTTCCAGCGGCGTCTGTCCAGCTTCACGCAAAACTTTATCGCATAGCGTTGCTCTATCGTTCTCTCCATCACAAGTTCGACGCGACCACTAAGCAGAGGTCACAGAATAAGCCGTCCTAACCCTCCAAGCGCATGGAAACAATTGAGCGACCTACCGTTGGAAAGCTAAGGGTACCCCCCTTCCTCCCCAACCGGTCCCATCGCTCTGCGATGTATAGTCGCGTCACAAAAAAATGCGACGCATTACTTTCCGGACCACCCTGTATATACATATATCTACACTAATATATCTACATGTACTAGATAATGCAAAGATAAAGTTCTAGATTAATAATAGGATACCATTACCAAATTTAGTTAAGACCGACGAAATCAATGCAACTAAAGTTTTGCACGCGAGAATGAGAGAATATAATACTACTAATCGTCATCGGGAATACCGTACTCTACGGGAATACCAAAACCTTTTTTACAAAACCTTGTACAAAAATTTTGTACGCGACGAAGGAATTTCACAGCATGCCATAATCCGTCCGCCGGTGAAAAACAACCGACCGAGACTTCGATCGTGGTCAACAAACTCACCCTGCGACTGCGAATTGTTATCAGCATCGAACCTGATATCGATGATGCCGACCCCGTTGTCCAAGATTTTGCCTTCTTTGCACTGATAGTAGGGCACGCATTCACAATTGTCGGGTTTGGGGGTGGTGTGGGTGGTGTATTTTGCGAGCCGAGAATGATATTGTTTGTAGTGGTGGTGACGTTCTGGTTCTGAAAAACGTCCTGAATCAGAGTATCGAGATCACCGTCTATTTGTGGCACCGGTTGAGGGGTGGTCGACGTCTTGACTTCGGGAAAAGCCTGGTTGATCAGACTGTCGAGGCTACCGGTGTTCTGTTGCGCCGCCGGCAACGCCGCTACCAAGGTCACGCTGACCAAGGTCAAAGCGGGAACAGTCCCCACATGGTTAGGTACCAAGGACTCTAATCTACCTGCAACAGATATACGACAGAGTCGTGTAATATAATAATAACCGCAAGGCAATGCACGTGGAACGCGATCTCGTCCTCGGACGGTTACGATAAAAAATTCTCGCAATGGCGATCGACGTATTTTCTTTCTCGAGATTATAAATAGCGATGACATAGTGATGCCTTGATCAGTGTAAGCCAGAAAAATCACAGGAAGTAAATGCAAACTAGAACTCAGCGGCCCGTGAAGTCTAATCGCTTCATCTTTTTCCTACAATTATTAACGCAAGGCAATTTAGCTGGTGATCTCGCTATCGCTAAGAGAGAGTATTTTGAGCAAATAAAAGACGTTGTAAAAAAAAATTCTCACTTGAGATATACAACAAAATGGGGGGAGAGATATGTTAAAAATTATGTCGAAATATTTCCAAATATTTCTGCAAATTTTTTTTTAAATATAAAAGTATAGGAAAGATTCAATATTTTATGTTTCAGCATATTACACAATCAAATACACAAATATTATAAATTAAATTTCGGAATTATAACAATTATATACAAATAGAGAGAATAAAAATAGTTTTTAGATAACAATTTTTTTATCTATTTTATGGAAGGACTTCCCCGACTTATCGGAGAATACGAGATATAGCATATAGATATTTCACAATTACAGTAATTACATGTTTGCGATAACCGTAACATCGTGAGAGATATTACATATTCTAAGATATAAAAATGTTTCAAAGTCTGATAAAACAGTGATTTTCTTTCTATATATATAATTGTAACAACGAAAATGCTATAATTCTTATCCATTGCCTAAAATTAATGTTTTTTTAATGAACTTTTTAAAAGGTTACATATCATATATTAATATAAACATTAAAAGTGAAATTCTATAAATTTTTATCATAAAATAAAATTCCGTTGCAAGAAATATTAATTTTTAATTAATATCATAATGAACATTTTATTTATTGTTACAAAAACAGTATTACAATAAAATTTTTGATTTTACAAGCAAAAAAGATAAAAAATATTTTTATAAAACAGGATATTCATAGTTTTTTCTAAAAATATATGATCATGAAATACACATAATAATTTGAATACATAATTATTCAGGATAATGGATGTCCTCATGTAATCAGTTTTATCTTTGCTTCCGCAATGAAGATGTACGTATGTATGTACATATATACATGCGTCATCATACGAAAATATTTTCTTCTTCTGTTTATGCATGTAAACACTCTTTTATGATAAAGTCTTTCTTAGACAGATTTTAAATAAATGTTATATATGATGGATTTTTATGATAAAATTTTCATTTATAAAAATAGGATGTCTTGCCAGTTATCCCACGAACATTCGAGGTTTGTTGCCATGTAAATTTTTTATCATTTTGAAACATTGAATGCATATTTAATAGAACCGTTACATAATTATTTTGATCTTTCAATGTATTATCCATAATAAATTGCCACTGACCTTTGTCGGACTTTGAATGACGCGATCACAAACCAGTATTATCAACATATTTCGTTTAAGCATTATTAGCAACTTCGTTATTTGTTAAAGAAAATCTGAAACTTTGTTTGTTTCACCATCGTAGAATAAAATTTTATATATTACTTATAGAAAATAATTTATATATCTATTTGATTACATATTAATTAATTTGATAAACGTAACTGTACGCTAAGAGCATTAAATTCGTCATTATCATCATTGTTGAATAATTAAAATTTAGATTGTCAAAGTCGTATAAGTTCACACACATACACACACAAATGGACACACATAGAGTATAATATTCAATAATATTAACCCTTAGTCCCGACGGTTCTTTTCGGCACCTTTAATGCGGACTCATGGATCGTTTGCGTCTTTGCGTTATTTGGATCAGTAAAAACGCTTTAAAAAATCTGAAGAAATTCACGGAGTTTCTTGCAACCTTCAACTTGAAGTCCCAATCATAATATTTCGATAAAAATTATTTTTTTATATAGTTTGTTATTAAGAAATGGAGGTACCTAAGGAAAAATCACTTGTTCGTTTGGGTCGCAAACGACCCATGAGTCGGGACTAAGGGTTAATCTTAGAGATAAACAACAAACTGATATTACTAGTTCTTATAAGAAAATTCATGAGTAACTATTATCCGCCATTTAATGTTTCAACGAAGCACAAAAAATGATTTGATACTCACCAAGAAACGGTGAACGAGCACCTTCCACTCGGAGCAGCAATGCTCGATTAGTACGTCTTTGAGTGGAGAACCGATTTCTTTCATATAATCTGCAGAATCCCTACTCCGAGCATTTATTTCATATATTCTCCCCACCTTCTTCTTCGCTCTGTCGTTAGCACGGGATTGTAAACTTGAAGAACCGGCATTTCCCCCTCAAGCGTTGACCCTGAGAGGTTTCGATGCGGTTTTCCTGGAAGTTTCAGTAGAAGAATTTGCATGACTGTTCTTTGGATCGCGAAATCCCCGCTTCTCCATGACGCACAACTTAACAATTATAGTATATCTGTTGTACCAGTTATTCGAAGGGTCGCGCGAATCCTTCACATGTCAATGCTCTAATTAGCAGGGAATTTCCCAAAATAAACGTTTTTTAAATTTATTTTATTAATTTTTTTAATTTTTTTAATTTAGTTAATTTTTTTGCGTTTGGATTTGCTCTCGTCACGAATTATGTGGTAAATAACAAGAGTTTATTTCTCAATGTTAAAACCACCGTATTATACATATCGCAATAATCAATTTGAAATTTTATACACGTTATTTTAAAAGCTAAAAATGATGCTATTATATTTTTATATAATTAGTAATAATATAAATTATGATATAGTACATGCAAATCGAACGTAGCATATTTGCATTAAGTTCTTGCCGAATTGTGACATTACTTAATGTGTCTCGCATATACTTACATACTCGATGTATCGAGGTCAGGGACTTATCAAATTTTTAATGTTAAGGTCAAGTATATATCTGGATGAATATTCTTAGAATGCATTATTAAAATGATCAACAGCTCGTTTGCCATGATATTTCGTGCACGATTTTTTTTACGCAGCTTATCGCAGAAAAAAGAAAGCATATCCAAATTATAATTAAATTTGATAAGATACGGAGCGAATCATTGAGATTTATAAAACACATAAGTAACATCGTTCTTTATAAATATATTAAATATATATTTGATATCCACGGATTCAAGTTTTGGTTCTCTCTAAAGCTGATAAAAATATAAAAATATAAATCTAATAGTCTAATTCCTGATAGTTAATGAGAAATTAGATTATAAATTCTCATCGTAATATATTGATTTCCACTGATATTTATTTATTTATTTTTTATTTGTTATTATTTATTTATGATAAATTTTATACACAGTTGTTTGCTGTATAACTTTACTTAATTTTAACTAATAAACATATGTATAATATAAAGTATTGTGAAAAATTTTTAATTTTTATAAAGATTTTAATAAATTAAATTAAATAACCTTCTTAATTTATATATATATATATATATATATATATATATATATATATATATATAAGTTATTTGATAAAAATTATTGATTCAATAAACATATTACTTATAGACGATGTTTCTTTAATGTTCTTACGATAAGTTTATGATAATTGCACACATTTGAATCTGACAGACATTTAAATTAACACTGCAGTTTATGCATACACGTACAAATTACTTTATAATTTAAATTATATTACCAAACAGACTAATAATGAATACAAATAATTATTAAACTGCTAATAAATTAATCAGTACGAGTTACTAGACTAAAACTTATGTTATCAAATTGAGATTTATAATTAACTCTTAATCTCCAATATAGAATGGTTGAGCAACTTCGTATCGCCTCCTTTCTCTCTTTCACTTTCGGATTTTCACATTATATAATTAATAGTAATGAGATATCTCAATAATATGCAAAATTAATTCTGAAAGAAAAAAAGAAATAGAAAAGTCGCGTGCATCAATTCGTCCGAGATCATTGCAGTGATATAATATACATTCTATACGGGAATTCCGAAAGCGTGCATTCGACAAATTACAAATAATATAAAGATAGATAAATAATAAAAAAAAAAATATAAAAGAGGAAATCCGCATGAGCTATTAATGCGGATTACATGCTCGTTACAGAGATATCGATTCTACATGCGGCTTTACTTATCGTCCCGTTAAAGGAAACACGCGTGCATATATTATACCTAACATGTTAAAAATGGGTCAATAGAATATGTGTCATTTAATCGTCATAAATAACGCCTGCGTCGATACATGGAAATTGTCGTGTTTTACCGCTTGCACACGATAATTCATGTGACGTTGACAGGTAATCAGCTGTCGCAACAGCATTTCATTCAACATTACGTCAATGATTAATTATTATTGTTATCTTATAAAGAGATAATATCACGTTTTTTTGCAAATTATTCTATTTATCGCTTGAAATGTAAATGAAAAATGAATAAATGCATTTTGCAAAAATGAATATTAAGAATTTATAAGAATCTATATGTTACAAAATCTTAATCTTTAAAATCAGAATTTTAACAAATATATCGAGAAATATATTTACTTTTTTTATAATTCTTTTTACTATCATGAAAATCTCAAGATTAACGAAGCTTACATAATATTTGCAACAAGAAGTCTGATTGTGAGAACAACTTGAAAAGAACTGAACATAAAGATTCTGTTACCTACTAATTTAGAAGATGTATAATCATTAACAGTAATTATAATTAATTATTTACCGGAAGTCATAAATACGAGATGATAATTATATACGTCAAATCAAATGAAAGATAATTAAATAATTACCACCTCGTGTCAAAATTCGAACAATCTTGACGTATTTGTTATTTAAAAAAGAACGTATCTTTTGCGCAAATTATTTAAAATAAAAATTCGTACTTTGAATTAATTCTTTCAATCAAATTAAAAATGAAATTTATTATTCAGCTTAATTTTTTAATTTATTGCATATATATTATGATATTTAGTCTAAAACAAAATTCTTATTTTAATGATAATATTATTTATTTATTTAATTAATTAAAAATCCAACGTTATTTTTTACTATGTAATTATTTTTTTCAATTAATTTATAATATATTGTATTGCGATATTATTAAACGGAATATTTTTTAATGTTTTGAAATTCGTTATGACTGGATTTTTCTACTTGATTTTCCAGTTCTGGAATCATCTCTTCCAATAGCCGTGATCGTCTAGTGGTTAGGACCCTACGTTGTGGCCGTAGTAACCCAGGTTCGAATCCTGGTCACGGCAATGTGAAAACATTGTCACGGTGGAAGTTTTTTTTTATAATTATCTATCACTAATTAATAGTCTTTATGCATATGTATTTAAATATCATCGATATTTTATATTTACATCGTCTCTCGATACAATTTTTTGAAACTCAGATTTCGATAAAATTATCTCATATAGACATGATTATTTTATTACAAATGTATTGATGTACAGTTCATTACGGTATTCAAATATTTGCTTAATTGTGAAAAATCTGTCACTGGCGCGAACATTATGCTCAATTCTCCGACATGCAGTCAGTTCTTCCAATAGCCGTGATCGTCTAGTGGTTAGGACCCTACGTTGTGGCCGTAGTAACCCAGGTTCGAATCCTGGTCACGGCAATGTGTTAAACATTGTCACGGTGGAAGCTTTTTTGTTCGTTTAATATTTATATTTTAGATATATTTACCTCGTGTTACTTCAATTTGATTTTAGAATACATTTTTAGATATAAGTACAGTAATATTTATGCATGATATCACAAATATTTATTAAATTGAAAATTTGGTTTTTACATATTACATATACATGTATCTATTTTTCTATATATATTTTTTATAATTTATTTTAAAAAATTTTAATTACGCAAATGCCTAATTACTTATATTATGCAAATAAATGGTGTTTATTGACTTTACAAAGTGAATAATAATTTAATGAATTTTATTTTATATAATGAATTTTATAATAATTTAGTGAATTTAATTTAATAATAAAATAATCTTATAATGAAGAGTGAGTGAGGAGAAAGTATACATATACATAACATATATGTTTTGACATTTTGTCAACAAACATAATTGTATAACATATTCTATATATTATTCCATATATGTATATATTCTATATATTATACGTTATATATTTTTTATATATTACTCTATATTATATATTTTATATATATTTTATAGATTTACGTGAGCAAAGTGAAAAGATCATGGTAATTGTATAATCATACATAAAAAGCGCAGACATGGCAGTGAGAATTAGAAATATCATATTAAATATCCCATGCGTTATTATACGCCAAAAGTCGCGAGCTGTTGATCTATCCATTGACGATGTTGCGATACACTTGCATACACTGCAGGTACGTTAGAAGTGCCGCAACCAATACCCCACGATACAATGCCTGCCTGAAATAAAAATTCTTATATACACACAGGATATGTATATACGTATACTTATGTAATATTTTTTATATCTTTTGTTAATACAAATATATATGTATCTACGTACTTTAATTTAATTTTATCTATGATATAATTAAAACAATGAACAAAATTAACAATAAATAAATAATAAGTAAATATAAATTGAAATAATCAGTAAAAAAAACAGAAATAAAACTGTTATTAATTAAATGTAAATTATTAATTGGTTAAAAACTTAAAAACTGCGAATATTTAGAATGCTTGTTTAAAGGAAAACTTTAAAATTTTGTAAGAGAATTTAAAGAGTTTTATGAATTTAACTTTTTAAAGGAAGGGAAGTATTATATATTGATTTCTGGCCCACTTGAAAAAATTGTCCCGTAGTAGCTGGACAAATCAGAGGACCACCACCGTCACCTCGACACGTGTCTCTGTTCGTTTCGCCGCCGGCGCAGATAAATGATCCGTGCAATTGAAAGTATTGTCCTAATTTTGTACTTTGTAAACGCGTCTGACAGTCCGCTCGATCGACGATTGGAAGATCGACCTTTCGAAGCTCAGCCTGATATTTTCCTTCTGGTCCTGGAACGTCATTTTGCGAATGAATAAAAAGTTGAAACAAATAGCGAGAAGTCTATTAAAAAAAAAAAAAACACTCTTGAAGCTTACCGTACGAATTGCTACCCCATCCTATTCCAAGGCACCTGCTTCCTGTCGGAAATATCGCACCTTGTTCAGGAAGGCAAATCGGCGCGACATTCGCTCTGTAGACGACTGGTTTCTCCAGAACAAGAACAGCCACGTCATGGAAAAGCCCACCGCTGTAGTAAGACGGATGTATAGATATTGCGAGAATATTCGCTTCTTGTACGGGTAATGGTTGAACGTTACTTCTTATGTCCCATTGACCGAAGCGAACTATTAAATTTTCAGGCTTCTGACTGTTAAAAAATTAATGGAAGGAAAATATGTAAGACATTTTAGCACACAATACATACTTCAAAAATAATAATTTAAGAAAACATACTTTATAACGCAATGTGCAGCAGTAAGGATGGCCTCGTTATTTATCATCGATGCACCACATTGAAAAACGTAAGAATCGCCAGTCGTGGACTTTACAAGAAGCGCGACCATCCACGGGAATTCAGCGAAATAAGTTTTTCCAGAATCAGCGGAAGCAGGCTGCGCTATAACAATTAGCGGTTGTTGTTGTTATTATCATCCGAAAAATTAAATAAAATTTTAATCAGCTTTAAACTTAAACAGAATTAAATATGATTATCGATATTAGTCTCAAAGTATATACAATTATTGACGTTTGAACAAACGTTTTGATCCTGGTCCAAAGTTCTACTTACGGGGTGCGTAACTGTTATTCTGTATACCACAAGTGATCTCTGGAGTCGAGTGATCGGATCGTGCAACGAGACCTCCGGACGAGGAGACGGAAATACCGCGAAGACCTTGAAGATCGATTCCCGCGAGTCGACAGCACACTTGATCCGCCGACGAGCAAGCCGTGAATCTTGGATCGATTATACCGAGACCGTCCGGGCTTATGACATTTCCCGCGGAACACAACCAGGTCTTTACGCAGTAGCAAGCCTGTGGAGTTCCCGGATTCTTCAATGGACCGAGCAGATTCGTAATCGACGAGTTGGACGGACTAGGTTGACAGTACAGATTCGTCAGCGCGCAGACGTTTTGTCTCGCTAGAATCTGAGAGAATCTAGGGTCTATCGTCCCGTCTGGCGCGATGACGATCGTGCAGGTGAAACACTGAACAGTATTGTTGCACACGAAGCATAACAGCGTCGTCGTCGTCATCGTCGTCGACGTCGACGGTATCGTGGTCGGAGTTTGCGTCGTTGGTGGCTGCGTGCTGGTCGCCAGTAATCTGCAGCAGACTTGATTGGCATTTGGACATAGAATGTATTGTTGTCGCGGGCTGATTACACCCTCTCCGAAAATGGTGACTATTCCGTTGGGGTCGCACAGCGATATCTCAACGCAGATGCAGTTCGGCAGTACGGTAGGAATCGGCGATGCAGTCGGGAAAGTTATCGGGGGTGTTGGTGGAGGTATTGTTGCAGGTGGTATTGTGACGTTTCGCAGATAGCAACAGACCTCGAAAATTCCGGGACAGCTCCCAACGCTGCGTGCAACATGATTGATTATTCATTAATTACATCTCGAGATCTCTCAATCAATATCGATCATGACTTGAAACTTAGTTTACTTAATAATTAATGTGCATAAAAGTATAGAATATAAGTCCCTCTATATTGAGAATTTATAGTTTATAAAAGAATTATAAAAGAATATAGAACTTAAAAAAATTTATAAAAACTACATATACAGTTTTAAATCTCAATATAGAGTAAAATTAAATAAAAAGAATATATGAAATCAAATTAAATGAAATAGAAATAATAAACATCTGGATTAAATATATAATTAAAATGTATCGCAACTTTAATAAATGAACAAATAATGAAATCGATTACTTAATAAATTTTGACCAACTCACCGAAAATCGATTATTCCTGTACCATCAGTGATAATAGTCTGATTACTGTCGCATAAATAAAACGGGACACAGATGCAACTTCTAGGCAACGGAGGAGTAATAGGAGTAGTAGTAGAAGTAGGAATTTTATCCAGCTTCTGATACTGTACTTTGTGCTTAAGGAGAGGCAAAAAAAATATAGGCGAAGAATTGACGAACGACATCGCGTTTCGATTTTGAGGGAAGACATTTCTCACTCGAATCGGTTTCTCAATTTGAACGAGTTCGCGGTTCGTATCTCCCGAAAATGCAACGCCGATCATCATCATCATCATCATCATCATCGCGACGACAATAATATTTATTAACACGTAAGATTGCGCCATGACGATGAGTCGTTACCATCCGGTGGCTCGCGGTCTATTGAACGATTTTTAACATGACCACGCATTTATGTATACAGGATGTGCTAGTGTTTCCCGGTTTATGGGGAGCGTTTATAGATGCAGATATGACGCTAATAGCATGCTATATACTAGCTTTTGTTACATTGACCAATTTTCGAAGGTAAAATATAATAGCGACACGTGTCTCATATATCATGTTTCAAAATATGAAAGAGAGAGGAAAATAGGATATTAGCAAATAACATGGAATTAATGTAAAAAGTAAAATAAAAAACCGAACATTTATAATGCGCAAATTTAATTATAGGAAATAAAATATAAACGAAACACATATTGACTATATTGCATCCTATATTACACACGACACACATATATAAATATATTATACGTGTATACATACGATTATGTTAAAAAATATATTTATAATTTTAAGGGCCACTTTAATTAAATTTTGATAAATTTAATCATTGGTTAGTTTGCATGATTACATTAAAATTTCCAACGACATAATTATCGTATATGTATATGTAACATAATACTATCGTTTATATACAATAGAAATTTTCCAAAAGACAAATTCTGCGAATTAATCAATGATTAAACTAGTTTTAAACGAAAGTAATCAAAAGATAAAAGACATCTATTTAATTGAAATACAAGAGAATAATCTTACCTGGATACCAAAAATGACAAATGCTAATTTCAGGAACAAACACGGTATCATTATTATTATAATTATTACATGTTACACTTTGCAATGGTAATATTAGTATTAAAAATAAATACGAAATTAAATATTAATTTCAAAATTTAAAAAAGTGATAAAATTCTATAGTATATGCAGGACGAATCGTTCAACTAGGCAAATACAAAAGATGACCTACTTACTAGTTGATACTAAAACTGGTAAAAAATTTTACGTACCTTTTTATCTAATATTTTTAAATTGAAATAATTAAAATGTTACATCTTAATACAAACTGCGTATTTTTAAATAATAATTATAACTTTATAGAATAACAATAAAAATCAAATTTTACAATAAAAACATGCGGTATATTAATAACAATGACTTATACAATTTGTTTATGCTGAAATAGTGACTAGTTCATAGAAAAAAGGTGAATCATTTATTTAGTCTACATTAATTTAAAAATATTAATGAGATTAACGAAGCTAAATAGGGCGTCTCGCCGAGTAAATCATTATCTATTTGCATATACATTTTACTGTGTTTTATTAAGCACAGATTCCACGAAAGATATACAGTCACGCAATATTTAACGATTCATTTTTCATTTTGTATACGAAGAGACAAAAAGTGTCACACAAAGATCTCCGATAAGTTTTGCAATGTTTGATGACATGTTATATATGAAGCACTGAATATGTTATATAAAATATACATATTTAGAAAAATATATACAAACCATAGAAAATATAATTATCTATAATTAAAAAAAAATAAATAAAAGAGCGATACACAATGATATCATATGACAGAAAAAATATGCATTTATTTTCTATTAATTCATTATTGAGCATATAATTAATTAAAATGTGAGCGAGCGATATCTTATGTGTGATATCATATGGACAAAAGGTAAAAATAAATAGCAAAAAATTATTTCATTTAAATGCATATATATATTCTTTCATTGAGCATAATACAAAATTTTGTACAAATATACTTAAATAACATAATATAGCGAAAATTATAATTATCTTTAATACAATTAGAATGGCGAGATGATTATGACAATTTACGCAAGACTATTAATCTTAAAATACAAACAATTATAAAAAGAAGGCATATCTAGAATACAAGATTTGTTCCGAACAAACGGAAATTTAATACGGCGAGGAGATAAAAAAATCCAAAAGATTTCGTGCGAACTAGCAAATTCGCAGTTTTTGGATAATGTTAAGTGCGTGATAATCGTTCGGGTTATATGCTCGCAAGCAGAAACGCTTAATCGGAACCTCGATCAATATCAGAGGCGGCAAAATTAATTATTTATACAATTCTGTGAAACGTGCAATTGAATGTTAAATTATTGTTAATCTGTCGGAAATTGTGAATTTTTTTTAAATTTTCTACCTATGCATATGAAATTGATTTCTCACTTGCTGCTTTAATCGTTATCACCTGCTGCTGCTACTATGAATCACGAGAATGCTGCTGCACGGTTTCAGATTACTGTAACGTCATCTCGCGCTCTGAATCAGTCGGTATATATTGTGACGGCAATGCATATAGAAAAATTGCGTATATAAATCTAAGCTTTGGCAACGTACGCCATAAGGTACAAAACGCATCACATATCTTACAAAAGTAAGGACTTATTCGTACTATTAAATAGTCGCCTTATAAGTTACAAAAATGTTTTATATATATATTTTAATATTTTAAAAATATAACAGTACGCTATATCATTTATAATTTTAGTAGGAACAATTCGTAATTTCTAATATAAACAATTCTTATATACTACTTAATTTTCGGAAAACAAAACTGAAAATGTTTATTTCATCATCCTTCATAATATTCGAACGTTTTAACCAAGTTCTTTTTCTTTTTCAGATTTATTAAATCTTCAAAATACTTCAATCTCTGAAAAAAACTGCCAATTAAAAGTGAGTACATATTAATATTATGCAATTATCTTTTTTATGTACTTATTTTTACATTTTTCAAATACTATTTTGCAAAAAGAATATTAAAGGTTAGTGGAACATAAATTCATTCAAAGCTGAATTATTTCAAAGATTGAAATGTCTTAAGGATCATAATAACTTCAAACTCTACTTTGTGATGTAATATATTAACTATTATAAATTAAATTTGCAATTTAAATTATTTGCTGCTTTTATCTGATGAAATAAAGCATATAGCGCTGAATTGATTTAATTTAATGTATACTGTATACACATACATATATCTATATCTTATACTCTATATTTTTAACATTTTGTCGTACAAGTAACAAAAAAATTGAAAAGCTTCAAACTTAAATTTCAATGTTAAATGTAACAATAACTCAAATTTCCTCCTGAATTATAAAAGAAAAAACATCAAAGAAAAAAATTCTCTCGCGAAAGTGTCTCTACGTAATTCGTATACATATCGATAAACTTTACAAGAACAATTAAAAGAAAAATAAGAAAATAGATATATACATTAGGAACTGTGTGTGTGTATGTATGTGTGTGTGTATATATATATATATATACATACACATATATATATATATAAATAGAAAATAAATGTACAAATTATATATTATTATATTTTATGCGGTAAAAAGATGATACAACACAATAGCTGATACATTTAATTTTCAATCACATGAGTTTTTGTCCCTCGGGAGAATTTTTAAATCGTTAAAACTTTCTGAACAAGTATCATTTCTTTTTAATTATTTTAGACAGTTTCGATATGTATACAAATTACATGCCGAGAAAATGTAAAAGCGTGTCCTTTCGCGAATTTTTGAGAAATAGCGGAAAGAAGCGTCAACTGCAAAAAAGCATTCGCCTTCTACGAATTATCAAACCTTCGAAGTAAAAGCCTACGTATGTATAAACACGAAGAAATACCGTTTCGGCAACAGCTTTTGTTTCGACGGCCTTGACAAGATCGTAGCGAGACTGACAGTGACAACAGTTCCAATATTCTCTGAATATGGCAATAAACACATATAATATACAAAATTGAGAACAGACCGTTTTGTATCAGCTGGTGAAGCAAAATAAATAAAATATCCACGGAAATATATTTAGACATGTAATTTTTGAGAAAAGATTATTTTTACAATTCTTATATCGATTATTATTACAGATTTTTCATATCACGTAAAGGACACGCTTTCACACACATATAAAAAAAAACATACACGTATTGCGGTGATAATTCGTAAGCACATAAAATATACATCTCTAATGCTACAAGATGTATAAATTAATATTATTGCTCACGTTGATGCTCGTATAAGATTACGATGATCGTTATCGATCATCTCTTATTAGCTATATTGAAAACATTCGATGTCGGTCGATAAGACTTTATATTTTTAAAATGCACATTTTAAAGTAAAAACACAATAAAATGTGCATATATCCTGAGTTATTTCTCATATGGTATATACTATACTTATTATATTATATATCTCATCAACCTATATCGTAAAATTATAAAAATAGAATATCTTATAAGGCACATATGTTATCATCACAACGTTTCATTGGAAAGAGGAAAAACAATATTTTCAAAATTTATCGATAGTTTCAATTAACACTGATTCAACTATCAATTGTAAATTATGAAGTAATTATGATAAATCATATAATTGTCGAAACGTTTTCTCTCTCTCTCTAAAAGTCGCATAATGAAAAATAAATTAAAATAAATTAAAATAAAGACATACGTTATTCGTGATTAGAATAATTTGGTATTAATTATCTTTAGATTATATATGGAGAAGAAAGATATTCAAATAGAAAATAAAAAGCTAATGTAGTACGATAGGTATATAATACTGAAATATCTAAACACAAAGTTATATATAAGATTCTTTTTCAAAAGATTACATTATTCTGTCATTTCGAAATCGGGATGAATGAAGAAACGCGATGTTCTTATATGGACATATGCAATTAATAAATTGTGGGTAAAATTCTCGTCCAAATCCATTGAAATTTTATGTTGTCATGTTGCATTTTGCACAATTTTTTTTTTTAATTGAATTGTAACTTGATGAAATATGCATTCAAGAATATCAAAATTAAAGAAAGCGTAACAAAATTTGTCATATCTTTATATAACGTCTAAAATATCTTACGTATTGTTATATGTCACGCTAATCGTCATACATCATATTGACTTTTTCATATTCTTGGTAAAAAAAAATAGTAGTAGAAATATATGCAACATATTAGGAATCAAAATGACGAATTCAGAAAAAGAATCATACAATATATAAAGATATATTCATAATTTGTAAAACCCCATTTCAAATACAAATGCGTATCTAAAAAAAATTACAAATTACGAACTTATTGTATTCTTCCCATGAATTCTTCAAATACTTAAATCGAGAATCTTTGGAATGCGTAATCTCATTACAAATAACTACTTAACTGCTTAAGAAATAATCACAAAAATAAATCGTAAACGCGTGCGTTAATAATATTAAATAAACTCAATTAGGCACTTTCTTGTTATAATCATTTTAAAAGCAACTAAGTTCCTTTTATTCCCAATTATTTCAATGTGACTCAGTATGTTATCGACAATTAATAGGCATACTTTTCTTAAGAAATATTTAATATCCCAGAAAAAAATATCTTTGTGTACTTATTCGTCAAATGACACATTGAATCTCTCTAGTACTTAAGAAATCATCGCAAAAGTATGTCGCGATCGTGTAAAAAAATCGCGTTTAATCTTAAAATCAAGACGTGTCGCAAAACTGATGTGAATGTGCTGTCACTGAATTTATCCAATCGCGCAAATCTCGAAGTACGCGAAACTTTTTCTTGCTCTAAAAATCGAAATTTATATTTCATCAGCATAGTACATTTTTCTTTATCACTGCATTATGAACATGAAATGCATCACAAATAGAAACGAGGCGAAAGAGATAGGATGAATTACGAATGCGGAAAGAATACGGAAGGGCAACGCGACAAGACTAACTAAAGTCACATATCGATCTCAATTTAGAACCGCGATGTTTCAGCGTATTTTCGAGAATGCGAGATCACGTCGAGTGTCAGTATTCGTCTGCATAGACGAGTGTAAATGTTAAGTACAAAAATATATAAATCTAAGAGAAATCTATGAATTTAGATTAGCTTAAGAATTAATTGCGCCATATGAACGTACATATGCGAGGACAGCCTTTGTCAGCAGTTAATGTGTATATACTCAAAAACGCTCGCTTCTTTTATTTCTTCCCATTGAAAATTTCGGGCTTAGATGATATTGTTACTTCGTGAGATATTTGTCAAGCGTAGACGATGAAACTATGAAATGAAGAAAAAATATTTTTTTTTATTTAAAATCGTTTAATAATTAATTGGGACCGCAAAATAATTATATATAAAAGTGACTCGGGATGTTCGCTCTCATTTATACTATATATATATATACATTTATAAAACACACACAAACTTTCAATATCTAGAGGTTGTATTTTTCTCACAATGATTAAACATGTTACTCAAAGAAATATGGTAAAAATATAGTCTTTTAACTTGGGAATACTCGTGAATTATTTTGTATTTTTTCGTTTTTAATTAATTATTTGACGATCATTATTTTTATTAATGTTCATTAATTTTTTCTTCCAATTTGTTTAATTCTTTTCTTAATATGTGCAGTAAAATTATTTTTTTTAATTTTATTGCAACACTTATGTAACCAAATTATATTTATTTTATAGCAACTTAATGTTTGCTTTTATTATTTAATGTTAGACGCATTAGCAAAGAAAAGGAAACAAAATAAATAATATAAAAATATATAATAAAAGGGGTTATTTTGAAAAATTGTTTATCACATTCAATATCATACATTTATACAATTTTTTAAAATTCATTAGAATATTTTCTGTGTTCGCTATTATTTATTTACAATTTATATCGAATAACAGAAAAAAAACTTTCAGAAGAAGCGGTGTCGATCTATCGAGATTAATTCTGACACTTACTTCCTGAAAGTCTAATTATATAAAAAAGATCTAAAAATTACCTAAATATAAGCTTCTCGGATGGAATGTCCTCCCATATGGATTATGTCGCGTGTTTTACGACGTTTTCCCGTCGAGTTTCTCTGCATCTTGAAGGTATTCGACATACTCATTGTACAGGAATTGTAATACGGACCCTTTGGACAATATTTAACTGTGTGTGCTCCATCGCCGCATGCACCACAAATCGGACACGTATAAGCCCTGTTAATAAAAAAAAATCTCGATTTTTGTATGATATGAAGAAAAAAAATATCTGCTGGAAAATTATTTTTCTTTAAAAAAAGAATCTCTCTGATCACAAAGGCTAACACCATAAAATATTACCAGTGAACAATTATCACGAAAATATTTCTGATATATAACATAAATGTTGATCTTTTTCTCTTTTATTAAATTTAGTAAAAAGATATATTTAGAAAAAAATAATTATTTTAAAATAACGGTTTAGAATGTTTTTTTTATACATTTAGCCTTTAAAGGTTGTATCGTATACATAAAACAAAAAAAAACTGTAAAATATTTCTTGTTCAAAAACTTGTCAAAAAAGAATTGTTAGACTCAGTTTTGATCTTTTTCTCTTTTATTAAATTTAGTAAAAAGATATATTTAGAAAAAAAATAATTATTTTAAAATAACGGTTTAGAAAGTTTTTTTTATACATTTAGTCTTTAAAGGTTGTATCGTATACATAAAACAAAAAAACTGTCTGTAAAATATTTCTTGTTCAAAAACTTGTCAAAAAAGAATTGTTAGACTTAGTTTTGATCGCACCAAGAACTCTTACTCCAAATAAAGAGAATCGTATTTATATAGGAATGAAATAATCATTACGGTAAAAAGAAAGTTAAAATAGAGAATGGTTCAAGTCTAGTTGTCAGACCTAAGCCCTGGACAGACAGGCTTAACACATTAAGTTTAGAAAGAAAATGGAAAGAAAAAATTCACATTTTTTATTCTTTTTGTAATGCAATGTTTTTCTCCTTTATTCTACCAAGAAGTGCTTTGTCAAATCTACCTCTATATACAACAATAGGGCTTTCAAAAACAAAAAACAAAAATTTTCTGTTCCATGTTTTACATTTAATTTGAATATTTTATGGCGTTGCACACACACACACACACACACACACACACACACACACACACACACACACATTTCAGCAAAGAGGTCTGGTTTTTTTCCAGTTGAACTGGCTGCTAATTCAGAGTATCTTTTCTCTTCCAACGTGGTTAAAAAAAGAACAGATTTATTATTATTAAACTACATACCTGAGAACGGGACAAATGACACGACCATCGATATCTTTTAGCAAATGCTCTCGATAATAAGCCTCTTCCTCCCCGTTATTTCTGCAAAAGACGCATTCTTTTGGTAAAGGCTTCTTGTTCTTCTTTCGACGGGGCACAATCTGCCTGGTTTCGTCCATATCGTGATCTGGACAATACTCAAAGTCACGACCGTTATGTCGAAAATCTTCCATTACTTCCTCGACTATAAAAAAAAATCAATAAAAAAAAGAAAAAATTAAATTTATTAAATTCAAATAAGAACACAAGTACTAGAAATTTTTTCTCAGATAATCCTCAGGTAATGTAAGAATTTATCTCTTGATAATATCCTAAAATACTGATATCTTACTTCCTCGACTATAAAAAAAAAAAATAAAAAAATAAAAAAATAAAAAAAAAGATTAAATTTATTAAATTCAAATAAGAATACAAGTACTAGAAATTTTTTTCTCAGATAATCCTCAGGTAATATAAGAATTTATTTCTTGATAATATCCTAAAATACTGATAATATCTTAAAATTCATTTCATTTTATTCCTATCTCCTGGATCAACATAAAATGATATAACTGCGTAAGCATATAAATTAAATTAGTAGAGAAACTTTTTTATGCTATTCGCTTAACATCAGTAATTTATAAAAATATTAATGTGTAAAATATGCCCAGTGTCTATTTTATACTCATTTTCAGATAAAGAAATCCACTACGAATCCAGCAAAAGTATAATCTGCTTTTGAAATTTAGTACAGAATGGAAGGACGAAAAAAATGCTGCGAATAATATAAAAGTTTGAGACAGAAAGATTCACATATATCATTTTCCTACTTGTGCGACACATAAATAGACCCTTTGTAAATACGATGTATGGCGTGAGAGACAATCCTTGGATAGAAAAGGAAAAAGTCGTAAACTGTCTTTTATTTTCCTTTGTTTCGAAACAGTGAGAGTCTCAAAAGTCGTTTTCTATGATGCAAGCTGAGAAGCGAATGTAACTCGATATCGGCCGCCGATTTGTAAACACAGGCGGCCTTTCTCAAGCCAATCGACTCTGAAGTGTTTATCTGGCGCGTTATATTCGTTGACGAATCCGTCACTAGAAATGGGTATCGAGAAATAAACAATATCCTTGCACACAACCTGAATCGAACTTTTGTCTCCCCGCCGTGTCGATGAAACGAAAACCCGTCTGTCGGCGTCTGCATTTTCACAAAGAGTATCGCGATCGCAGAAGCTACACGTGCGCAACGCGATAAGAGATTATATATACGATCTTTCGCGGCAATCATCGATAAAGGACCTAAACTCGGCGGTGAGAAAAGTTTTATCCAAATAAACACGAGACAGTCGCGTGGTTTCGAACAATTCTCTTTTAGGTCCAGATTCTCCAATCACTTTTATCGAAAGCGCTTTTAAATAAAATAAAAATAATAAAAATAATAAAAATAGTAAAATAATTAAAATAATAAAAATAGCTCGAGAATATGGCCTTAAGATCAGGAGACACAAGGAACTAAAAACGGACTCGAAAATTCATCGATAATTGAAAGCTAATTTATCTACTTGCCATTACACATCTTAAATAAGTAAAAGAAATCATTTTTCCTATATATGGAAATAAAATGTTTTCTATATATTATGCGAGACTTCGTTTTCAAGAACATTGACTTTGAAAATTATTTACGGTTTTTTTTTCAATTTGAATGATCGTAGTATTCATCTCGACAGCAAGAAACAAATTCGGAATTAACATGTTATTTAAAGAAATCTAGAATCTTTTTACATAATTTTTTCATTAAATTATTTCAAATTGTTTTACTAAATAAAATTTTTTATGCTATTCTAGATATCTTTTTACATAATTTTTTCATTAAATTATTTCAAATTGTTTTACTAAATAAAATTTTTTACAATTATATTTTTATTATATGTATTAGTGGTTTTATCGAGAATGAGTTCGATAGCATAATCTATTAAATAAAAGTAACTGACATATCGAAATTTAATGCGATTGTTAAGTAGATGAATCATAGGCGACAAGCATGTAAAGTGCAAATATTCAATAAGAACTATTGACGTATTAATTTACTATTACAATAACGCAAAGCCTAAAGGATTTTATTTATGAGAAAAATCGTATTTTAAAATCAGTTACATTTATTACACGAATTGTATTAAAAAATCTCATAATTTCAGAGAAAATTAGAGAAAAAAAGATTCATACAAATGCAGGCAAAAGTGTCCTTATTATTAGTTTAATATCCTTCGAAATTCTTTCTTTCTTTCTTTTTTCTTTTTTTGACTGGTTATAGTTTCCCTTTTGAAGTAAAGCCTCTTAAATAAATTTAGAAAATATACCTGAAATTTATCAGTTGAATTTCTTTTCTCACGCACAAAGAATATAAAGGACAAGAAGAAACTCTACAACTACAAAAAATAGCAATTAACTAACAGAAAAACGTTAAGCATTAACATTAAACATTTTAAATAATCATGAGAGAAGACTATTAAAAGCTGACCTTCCTCAACAGCGTTGATTTATAAAATTGTAAACATTTCATCCTTTGTGAATTCCGTTGTAAATAAAAGCACGGTTTAGTAATTTTCTACAAACGCATGTACATACAAATAACACAAATCTCGTCGATCGATAATAAAATATAAAAAAAGCATACCATTCGGCGCTGGATTTTTGCTTACAGCGACGTCGAACAGCCGCTTAATTTCTTCATCCAGGCTGGGATTGAACGGGAATAAAGAATTTTCCTGCAGCATCGGCAACATGACGCACATGATCCGTAATTAGTATGCTAAGACACTGTTCTAAGTCGACTCTTTCGCGCGGAACTTCGAGAAACTTTTTTTTCTTGCGAACGGAGGATATATACATATATATATATATATAATATATAATATATATATATATATCACGTAGCAATTTTCGTCTAAGGCAAGCGCGAAACACGCGAACCGACGTCGACGACTGTCCACCTACTACTGAGTCAGAGACGAGACCGAAGGAGCTCACTTACTTCGAGCTTGGAATCAAGTCACCGGATATGTCTTATTCGTATACGCGGAGTGGGGAAAGTGAAGAGAGGGAGACACTCTTCTCTCATCCTTCGACGTATCAGCGGCAAGTATCACACAAGAAAGGAGAGAGAAACAAAGCGCCGCGCCGGTACAAATCAAAGCCGCCGAATTCGCGGTACTGTTTATTGCGCGACGACCTCCGCCGCAATGAAAGCGCTTCCTGGAAATTGGAAGGCGAAATAGTCGACGACAAATATGCGTGTCAGGTAGACGCGATGATGATGAAATCAGGTGGGCTTTAACGAAATATACACTTTATAATGATTTTTTTAAATCTACAAATAAAAAGGCAATAAGAGCTACATAAGTATAGAAATATCCTTCTTCAGCGCAATGAATAATTAAAATATTAGTATAAATTAACAATAAATTATTCATCAATGTCATTATAATAAAAATAAAAATGTCCGGAGTTACTTTTAGTATATAACTTGACTCCGGACATTTTTATTTTTATTATAATGACATTGATGAATAATTTATTGTTAATTTATACTAATATTTTAATTATTCATTGCGCTTAAGAAGGATATTTCTATACTTATGTAGCTCTTATATTTGTAGATTTATCATTATAAAGTGTATATTTCGTTAAAGCTGATTTCATCAAGGTTGGAAAAGACAACCGAAACGTACGACGAATTGAACTTACTTCTGTATAATTTTTAATAATTTATGTTATAAATCGTTTCACAAATATATTTCTATACTTATGTAGCTTTTATTGCTTTTTATTTGTAGATTTAAAAAAATTTTCTAAAGAGCTTTTATATATTATATTACTTTATAATGACTTGCACTGTGTCGATTACACGTTGACGACTGTTAACATCGCGTCATGCTTTAGTATCGTTGAATCGAATTCAAGAGTAATTTGAAAAATCTGATGCAATAAGATGTCTATGTAGTCTTTTATTTTTAAGTACAAACGTAATCTCTTGTTAAATAAAATTTCTAGCTAATCTTTCGCTTTCGTATCGCGCGTGAAAGATTGTATTGTTAGGCGTAGTTCCTAAAACGTAATACTATATTCTTTAAAGAAAAATTCAGAGAAATGAGTCAGTGAATAAGGAAATAGGAAAGGAGGATATGATAAATTGTGACAATAGTCAAACTTTTTTTTTTTAATATAATAATAGATATATGAAAGTTATGAAATTTGCTGATTTTTTGATACACGAAACGCGAATATATTATACGTGAATTTATATACATATGTATATATTCCGTGTAATTCCATTAATTATGCATAAATTACTCATGCGTGTTTATGGAATTTAGAAAAATAATGAACGAGATTTTTTTGATCGGAAAACTGATTTAGATTTTTTTTTAAATTTTCAAACAAGTAACATTTGGGAGAAAGGTAGGAGCTGAGAATAAAAAGAAGAGAATCAAGTGATTTCACTAATCTTCATCTTTATTATTACTGTGTAAATATGTAGGCACTGAACAAATAATGTTTCATAATTTGTTTACAAACATTTACACTTACTGATCTTCGTCTTTTGTTCAATCAATGAATATTCTTCGCGAGATAACAGCCCTCGAATAGCGTTCGACTATACAAGGCTGTCCTATATGTGTATGTACGTGTGTATGTGTCCGACACGTGTCTAGAACACTCGAATCTTAATTAATAATTCTTATGGTAAATATACCGGTTGTCGTCCTGACGGCACATTGCATGCGTTCGATCCCAATTTCTAATTTGCGACCTTAATTTACTTTATCAATATATATATATACTTCACTTTTATGTATGTATACTTCAATCTCTATATCCGCTAAATATATTGTTCTTCTAAGTTTAAGAATTACCACGATTATTAAAGATAAGTATACATATCTATATATATACTTCAGAGAAATTATAATTAAAATTAATAGCAATCATGATAAAAAAGTGTCAAATATATATATATGTATATGTCGTGTAGAAGGGGACGAGACACAAGATATAGGGAAGGCGGAGGGGGAGGAAAAGGAAGTAGGGAATTGATAGGTGAGAAAAGGTAGTGAGGAAAAAAAACCGCAAATTCTAACTTTGGCTAAGAGACTGACATTTGATGTCTTCGAGCGCGACGTCGGCTTCTCTTCCCGAAACCGCCGCGTTCTCCAATTTCGAAATGTCAAACTAAAGAGAAAAATTGGTACAAAGTCTTGAGATACATGTATATATAAATGAGTTCGACAAGATGTGTGTGACACTTGTTTTTGTAAATGTGCTGTGTATGTATGTGTACAAATGTTCATCGGTGAAAGAATGTAACTTTACAATTAGGATAATCAAGGTCATTTAGTATTATCGGCTAATCGCTTTTCAGCCTTTTCCGTGTCTCAGGTATAAAACTAAAGGGGACGGCCGACAAAGCCGTCTTGTAAAACTATATTCATATATTTTGTTCTCTTTCTTTGTCTCTCTCTCTTTCTCTATTGCGCTCAAGTGTGTGTTTATTAGAAACATTCTTTATATACTGCAGATAAGTCAATAGATAGATTTCACTGTTTCGTGCGTTTATACATGAGACACTCCGTAACCGAGCGTATTATTCAACGCGAAATACTCTGATGTGACGTTATCACCGATGATGATGATGATGATAATGATGATGCTACCGAAGATGATTAATGCGCACGTAGGTGTCGTCAATGAATTTTTCTTGCATTAATTTAATGATCATTCGCAAACGTCGATATCGCGGTGGTCCGTTTTTTGGAATAGCTATAATAATTATAAATATATTTATATATATGTTTATATATATACATTTATATATGTATATCTGTGTGTATATATATATATGTATATATATACGTATATATAATAGGTCCATGCGTTCTCCTCCTTTATGCGCGTGTTATGCAACGTATATGACAGTGAAGAGTACATGTATATATGTGTGTATATTTTATACATACATACATATATATATTATATATTTATGTATGCATATATGTATATATATATACATATACACACATTAGGAATGTACATAGTGTAGGTATAGATATCTTTTAATTATAGATTGTGTATAAAACGATGATACATACTATATTACTCGTTTATATCAAACGACACATAATTATGATATTAATGTTTAGTCTCATGGTACGACGTTCCAGGGCACACATTCCAGGCGCGTCGGTCGCCAATAGGCTAATATTATATAATAATAGTCTTGTCCTGTCATCTCGCGCAGTCACGCACTCGCTGACTCGCAGTCTCTCTTTCGCCCCTTAAAAAAAAATAAAAAAAAAAGAACGATTGCCACACCCGACGCGTGCTTATGATACAAGAATCTCCAAATGAATGGTCATCAGTCTTTGAACGTACGATTCAATATAACACATAATTCATATATAGCGATATCTCAAATTCGAAAAACCGATGTTTTTTTTGTACTTTAATAAAAGTTTGATAACAAATATCAGAAAAGAAACATTTTTATACACATTAAATAAAAATAGAAATACATATATACATGCATCGTAAAAATTTCGTTTAGACTTTCGCAGGTTTCATACATATAATAAATTAAAAAGATTTTAATCGATAACATATAATAATAAAATAAACAAAATAATGATTAAGTTCTATTAGTGGATTATAAGTGCGAGTGTGTCTAAAACACCTCAGTATATGTTCGTTTTCATTACATCAAAATTTTTTTTTCTCAAATTTAATTACTCTCATCATATCCAGCTTTATTTCAAAGCTAATAATTTTAGAAGATATGAATAAATAAATATAACAAACCCGGATTGGCCTCATATTATATATATATCAGATAATAAAATTATATATATTATATTATATAATATATATAATACAGGATTATTCAAAAGAATTTATTCGATTTTTTAATGATTATTTTTTAAGTTTATAGATACATAGCTTCAACAAGGCGATTTTTTATCCAGGTTTGTGGGTAATGGTGACATGTGCACAGCAACGTGTTCCCCAAAAGAAAAAGTATAAGTAATTTAATAGAATTCGATAGATTTGAAACAAATGGTTGGTACTGGTGTATTATAGAGACGTCCATTAACGGAATTTAATAATTAAAAATTTGAGTTTATTGTTGTGTGTGTGTGTTGTTGTTGTTATGTGTGTGTGTGTGTGTGTTGTACTGTATAATTATTAATAATAAAATTAAAATATATCCAAAAAGATTTGAAAAGATTTTTCCTCATTTGTTCTGTGGCTCAATCTTCAAAAACGTGACCATTCATTCGAATATCAATATTTATATATATACATATATATATATATATATATGTATATATATATATATATAAATTATCATTATTAAATATTAATACTTCTAATCGTATACTCTCGTTAGAGTAAAAGTGGTCTCGCGCATTCCAAATATAAATATATCTGGACGCTATAGGCAAATACAGTGTACCAGCGCATGTATTTTTTGCTTTCTTGATATGCGATAGATACTAACCTAACAAAACTCGCTCTTACATTTCTGATTTGGTATGTTTTAGTCTTATTTTATTAAGAAAAAATATAGAAGAAAAAAAGGGAGAAAGTTACTCCTTCGTTTAATACAAAGTTTCGATGAGAGAGAGAGAAGATACAATGAGAAAAATATTAAATTAAACTTGATGAGAATGGAACAGATCTTAGCTTTTTTTTTCTTTTTTTTTCTCTTGTCACTTAAGAAGTTACGAATAAAATTATCGTAAACGTTATTGCATTATAAAATTATATATTTATGTATGATAAAAACGATCGGTTTGGAGCACTCGTAAAGTAATCGAAAGACTTCAACTCTTTCAATGTTCGAAATGTTATTTTACATATTGAACATAGAAAGTAGATTAAAAAGATATAATGTAATCGCCGGATAAATTATCAACGCGATTGTTAGAAATATGTACCCTCCTTTATAATGCACAACTGTGTGTATGTATGTGTCTGGATATTTTGTGTGCATCTCACACTTATTGTTAGTTGAGAATCTCGGACATGTCATTATGCTTTTTCAGTTTTGTTTTTTTTGTTTACTTTAATAATCAGTCGACTCCGTTTAGAAAGAGAGAGATTTTTTGCATTCGCGTATAAGGAATGCGCGTCTTTGTATTATGTATTATCCTATATTTACAAGTTTCACGATATATATATATATATATATATATATATATATATAATCGTTTTTTCTATTCGTCATACTGAAATTTCCGACGACGAAACATTCCATTCGCATTACTTTACAAGTATCCTCCCGCGAGAATAAACCTCCTCTCCACTGCAACTAAGTCTTATATCATCGAAAAATATCATCGAGAGATACCTCTACTGTACTACTAATTCTTATTTAGTTTTATCTTCAGCGAACAGGAATACTCATTTCCAGTCAATATCTCATAGAGTACAATTATTGTATATGTGTTTATGTATTTATATATATATATATATATATATATATATATATATAGTATCCCATATTTGTTTATCTAACTTAACGTAAACACCGCGCTTGCGAAAGCTTATGACAAAAATAAAATAAACGGAATCGCGAGTTATACAAATAGTGAGAACGATGATACCGTACGTAGTAGCGTTATCATAGTGTCATTGTTTGCCGATAATGCTACTTTTCGTATCAATATCGTTCCTCCGCGTTGCTCTTTACAACAAAGATCCGATCATTGCACGAAACAGGAGGATCTTCCCTGGTTTCCCCTTTAAAATAATGATACTTTTCTCGGATACTTCGGATACTCTTCTTTCCCTTTTACATTAAATAATATTAATTTCATATTTGAATATTGCACTTTATATTTGCAATGGAGGGATGCTTTATACTTCGATTATTCACGAATTTGATATCGGTTTATCCAAATAAAAATCACTCTGCTAAAAAAAAAAAATAAAGAAAATATTTAATACATATACAATAAACATAAGTTGTAAAACGTTCCTTAGTGTATATAGTGGTATTAAAAAAGACAAAAAGTACACATAGATTTTTACCAATTTAGCATTTCGAATACTATTAAAAAAGCGTCGCTACCACGATTTACTTTCTGAATGTTTATATGACAAACAGACACAAAAATCGCTGCTAACTACTACAACCAACTTTAATTGCCTGTGCTCATTCTTAAAATCAAAGTCATTCCGTCTAGTCGTTCTAGACTGTCACACGAAAAATGTGATGATGTACGTAAATGAATCTCGAACTGGCGAATCAACAATGTAATCAGAGGGACCGGTACTCTGACGTTAAGGCTTTCATCGCGAGAAAATTGATTTAAATCATAAACGATTTACTATTGGGCACGTGCAGCCTGACGAAGTGACGATTTTCTCTCTGGTTCGCGAAATACTTTTCTAAATACAAATGTCGCAACTGAGAATACTATCTACAATCGCGTTTTATTTCGGGAGAATCTCTTCGTGTATCTCTTCTTCCGTATCACGCGAACGGGGTACAATCTTCCAATAGTATATGCATTATGATTTAAATGTTCATGTAATATATAACAAAACAAAACGCGCTCCTAAACGCGATCCTGACGAATGGATCACACAAGGAACATATCTACGCTGAAGGACCGTCATATTCCGTTTTATCTTTTCCTCTTGTTGTGAGGTATGTATTACACTATGATGGATCTACTTGTGGTGAATATATTGTCGCTCTTTACGTGCTATACCATACAGACACATGCGGCAGAAAATAGTATAGGCATTCTTTGTTTGCGATAACACACTCTACATCGTTATTCAAAAGGAACTTCGATTGAACTTTTTATTATACGCTTTTTTTTCTTTTGTTTCTTTCTTTGCTATTTTCTTTTTTTCTTCACGAAGGCCAAGGTCGCACGCGCGCTACCGACGTGTGTAGATCAAAGTGAACCGAGTCTGAAGATAAAACGAAAGTTTATATTTCACATTTGTCTCAATACCATAAAACAAAAGTAGATGTTTTCGCAGCTCAACTCGGGTTATTGATTGTGAGCGTTAACTTCTCGGGAATAGATTTCGCAACATTATAATACGATTTTTACGTTAATACATGCGAAAAATACGTGGCGGGGTCATGATCGTGTCCACGGAAATCGACTCAAAGACGTGACAAAGTGTATGAGCTTATTGTTTTACAACTGATAAGCAGCTTTTACGAAATGCACTCGCCTTTTCAAGTTTTTACAATTCCGACACTAATCGCGACCCGCCACCGATCAATCGCAATCGATCACGCGCGAGATTGTCTGAGGCTGCTCTCTTTTTTTTCGCAAGAGCAGCAACGAGTCTCTTCCTACCTATTTCAAATGAAAATTCGTGAGAAAGCGCGTAAACACGTTAGAGTAGAAACTGCGCGGACACTGCAGATCCGACCTGTAACTGGTACTGCTCGGCGTTGCACTACGAGGATGATGGTGGTGATGGTGATTCGCCGTGGGTGTTAAGTATGGTCTGAATAGTTAGGGTTTACTATTGTCGTTGTTCAACGACAATGGGTCAGCGAGTTTTTGCTGCTGCTGTTGCTGCTGCTGCTGTTGACTGACCTCGCTGACGGCACCGCCGCTCATCAGCTTCGCGTTGTTATTTTCCGTATTCGATATTTTCGCGTAATCGCGCTTGCGCGGCGTATTCTCCGACTTGACGATCGTGATGTCCGGATTGTTCTCCAGCATGGACGTCGCGGCTTTCGTCACCGTTGCCGGCACCTCGATGTAACCGCCGCCCTCGCGCTTGATCGACGTCGTCGTCGTGGTCGCCGTGTTCGCGTTAATCTTCTGCAGTATGTCGTTCACGGACTCGTTGTTCTCCGTCGTCACCGGCTCCGTCGTCGTCGCGTTGTTGCCGCCACTGCCGTCGATATTGCCGCCGGATGCCAGATCGCCTGCCAGCGAGATCCTGTCTGGACCCTGCAAGGTCGACAGATATGTCGCGAGCGTGTGGACGGTCACGTTGAGGAACTCTGCGGCCCGGAACAAAGTAATTTCTTTCCGCCGTAGTTTCGCTAACACTTCAGCGGGGCCTGGTTCAGACCAAAAATCCCTTACTCTGAAAGTTCAATCGCGTTATTATCGCGATACCAGTTTTTTTTCTTTTTTTTTGACAAAATTTTATACCTATTTTTGTTTTACAATTCAATCTCTATTCTATTACCTGTAAGGATGTTTAAGGCAACCATAACTGTCGCGGTATCTGCCGTAGAGGGTGCCGTAAGAGACGCCGAGAATCTCGGCGGCAGTCTTCATCTCTAGTTCCTTGCTCTTGATCGCGTCCATAACGCGTCGCGTGAATGGTTCCTCCCAAAACTCCTGCCGCCGTCCTGTCGTCAGATAATCGTTCATCTTCACCACGTCCCGGAATTGTTCGGGGATGGACAGATTCGCGGCGTTGGAATTTGATGGAGTGCTAGGCGCTGCAACAGCAAATGTTTCAGTGAATGACGATGTATAATAGCGTCGAAAAGATTGAAACACGTTTCTTTCAGAAGAATTTATGTTTCTATGGACAAAGAAATCGAGTCAAAAACTTCTCTCATTGAATGGCTTCAAGAAATTACAGAAAAATGTTCAAATATATGTAATTAAACGTCTTTGAAAAACGGGCTATTTCACTGTAGAAAAAAATTATTACAAAGCTGCGAGTACAAAAATCATATATACCTTTCTTTTCCTGGTCGGATGTACTATCATCCTTGGACATGTAGGACAACTGAAAGAAGCATAAAATGCATCATGAGTATCATTGAATAAAATATTTGCGCGAGAATAGTCTAATCCGTCGAAAGAAAGTAGAGCGAGCTCTACTAGCTCTCTTAATGGATGTCCGATTTAATTACGCGTCCAAGTAAAGGAGGAAAGAGGAATTATACTTTAAAATTGGCCTTACCACCGGCAGTGGCGTTTCGTTAGTCTCGTTCATCATCATCTCGTCGTCCCAACTCTCATGATCGCCGCCCTCGCTCATCATCTCCTCCTGAGAAAAAGTTCAACGTGACACATTAGAGTCGCACGTAAGTATCCCCGCGTACATAGGTGAAAAATGTGTGTTAAATTTAACAGATATCACATGTCCCAAACGGTTCGCCGAATTTTTTGTGTTAATTTAACGTAATATGGATATATGTTAAATGGAGACACAAAAATACTGTGTTAATATTTTAACACAAAATACATTATAAAACTTCAAGTAATTTAAAATAAATTGATGTAAAATTAACATAGTTTTAATGTTAAAATTAAGCAAAAATATGTTAATTTTAGATTTTATCATCCCCACTTATATTATAAAATGAAAAATCAACATGTTTTTTCTGTAAATTTTAACAGATAATATTTGTCATTAATAAAACAGAACATATTTATTGTGTAAAATTAAAAATAGATGCACATTGTGTTATTTTTACATTTTTTTCAGTTGTTTTATTAATTTAACATTTAAATTCAATTAACGCAACAGAAATATGTTAAATATTTAACACAAAAATTTTAACGTGAACCTTTTTTAACAAGAAAACACAAAACCCGCCTCTGCGAATCTAAAATTTCCCAATTTTTACATTCATGACAAGGGTCAACCGATAAATCTGTTGATCTCAAATATTTCTAGCATGCATAAGTCTCGGTGCAACGAAATTATATTACAGGCCTGCCTGTTTTCTCTCGTTTTTAATCTTCTTTGAACGTTCACTATGCATTTCAATGTCGCGTTTTTGTATCGAAGCTAGACTTTATTAGCTTAGCACTTCCGGCATTTTTGATTACATCATAGATCAGTCGTGTAGCATGATTAAGAAATGATAACGCGCTACTTAAGTGTTCGATATGCGCAAAAAAATCTAAATTGAAAGAAAATCTAAATAAATTAATAATTCATATGATATAAAAAAATCCATAAAATGGTAATTTTGAATTATTTAACTAAAAATCATGATGCATGAATATTTAAATGCAATAACGCGCGAGAAGCGAGAAAGGATTCTAAAATAAATATCAAAAGTGCTAAAACATTTTAATAGCATTTTACAAGCACTATAAACGTTTTAAAGTTTAAAGATTTTGATCCGCGATGCGTAATTGTCAGAGTATCGATCAGTTATAAATGAGAACATGTTATTCAAAATAAATCGTATAATGACAACAGAGAGGTTGTCAATATTTTATTTTCCACGATATTTTTAATTTCATCAATCGATGTGTATTCTTTTATTTAGAAGGAGAAAGCGACAAAAGTTTTTATCAATTGAAATGAGTAAGAAGTATTTGATCAACGAAATTCGTAATAAATAAAATATAATTTCAACACACTTTCAACATTACATTAGAAAGACATATACATTAGAAGGAACAAATTTTTACAAAATATTATAATACGGCACCGACTCTTATACAAGCATATACAGAATATTTCTAAAACTCTGTCAGATATTTTAAGGGCGTATTCTAGAGCTCAAAATAAGAGAAAAAGTTATAAACATAGGTCCAAAAATGCTTTTCCTCCGAGTTATAACTCCTTAAAGTTGGGGGAAAAATCGAAAAATGTATCGTAACTCTCAGACTCTTTCGTAGATTGTTGAAAAAATCTTTTGATGAAAAGAGCTACAATATATTTTTTAAATTTTTAACCCAACTAGACACCTATGTTTAAAGAAACTTTTTTTCTTATTTTGACTTCTAGAATACACCCTTAAAATCTTCGACATAGTTTTGAATTAGTGTTGAATTTGTATACAGGACACTCGGCTCCCGCGAGTAAATATTTATAATATTTCGAAATTATTAGGTCTCGGATACAATGAGAGGAATAAGGAACAAGGTATTTAAACACAAGGAATAGGAATTAGGAATAGAGAATTAAATTTCGCCTAATGGAAATCCATGCTTTCCAATTCGTTCTTCCTTCATTGTTAATTCTCTATTCCTAATTTCTTGCGTTTAATTCCTTGCTCCTTATTCCTCTCATTGTGTCCGAGCCCTTACGTTTCCGTGATGCATGTGATTTTCGGTGTGAAAACGTCGTGTGCCGAGGGGGGGTCGTCCAGAGGCGGACGACCTCTGCGTCTTTGCTTCGGAGCTGGCGGCTCTTCGGTCTCGCCCTCTCGCAGGACCGTCTCGACGCCGGGGGTCGCTGCTCCAGGACTGTGACCGGTGTTGTTCAAGTCGTTTGGCGCGGTATCGTTGCGCCAGCTCACCTCGGCAAGTCCCTTGATGTGTAAATCCTCCGCCGTTTTCAATAACGACGATAGCCTCGTCTGCAAAACAGAAGCAATCCGTTTGCCTTTAATGCCTCCACTCGTATTTCTCTATCATTCTCTAGGTATACGTAATTATTATTACAATCATCATCGCTACTGTATTTTACATGGTATAAAAAATAGATTAATTATTACACTTCAATGAAAAAATTAACCAGAACGAGACTAATTATTTCTTATGGTTTTTTGGATCCTGAATACGAATTGCTCCACCATGTCACGATTTTGAGAAATTTTTAATTAAAGTTCACATATTGAAGCTATAATATAACAAAGTTCGCGAAAAAATCCTTTTTGCAACTTTAATTAAAAATTTCTCAAAATTGCGACGTTATGGAATAATTTGGAAACCAGATTTGTATTCAGCATCCAAAAAATTATAAGACGACTAGTTTCGTTCCAGTTAATTTTTTTGTTGAACAATGTTATCCGTTCTTTTCTTTAAAAAAAGGGCATGTTAACTGAGTAAATTTTATTTTAATCTAAGTATCGAGACCTCTTTTCTCAATGTTAGTTACTTGTCTCGAAGTTTGCTTCGCAGTTTAAATCATAAGTCGTGTGACAGTTTTATACTTTGCGATTAAACATAATATTATTTTAATATTATTTTAATTTGCCAAGTTCCTATTATGCACGTAATTTTGTTTGTCATCGAATTTCTATCATGCATATAATTTTAAAAAATTCCCGAATTTTATCATGCACATAATTTTAATTCGCCGTATTTCTATTATGAAAATAATTGAAATTATACATAATAGAAATTGGGCCAGTTAATATTATGTACATAATAGAAATTTGGTGAATTAAAATTATAAATATATAATTAAAATTCAAGAATATACAAATTATGTACATAACAGAAATTTGGCAAATAAAAATTTAAAAAATAATGGAAATTCAAGAATTTAAAATTATGTACATAATAAAAATTCAAGAATACATTATGCATACAATAAAATTATGTACATAATAGAAATTCAACGAATTAAAATTATTTACATAAAAGAAATAGGGCAAATTAAAATTATGTGCATAATAAAAATTCAGCAAATTAAAATTATGCACATAATAGTAATTCGGTGAATTAAAATTATGTACATAATTAAAATTCGGCGAATTAAAATTATGTATACTTATTATATTGCGTTTACATATTTGTGATTTAGAAATATAAAAAAATTTTTTGACATTAAAAATAAAATTATATATACATGTAATTATATATACATGTAACTATAATATTAATGCTAAAATTGAAATTATTTTATTAATAATAAATTTAAAAAATATTAATAAGTAAAAAAGTAATTTTAACAGAATGTAGAAAATACAATTAATATTAATTTGAAATAAGGAAATTTAAAAGTTTATTAATTAGGACATAATATTAATTTACTAATTTAACGCTCATCTTATGATACATGATAAAAAGTTAGATTAATTGTAACAACTGACAACAAATTAATTTTGTTCATTATTTTCTGAACAATCAAGTTCAGGTATTACTTTTAATTAAGTTTTGCCTATGTCTAAAATTTGATTAATTTGTTTTTTTCACGTCTCTGTCGAATTTACATGATACATTTATATACAGTTATTTATTTTAAGAGCAAATGGAAATAAGTGTTTTAAATTTGACTCATGTACTAACAATATTTATGTGCACTTGATATGGCTATTAAAATGTTCTGTTTCCCTTTCCCTCTTTCTCTCTCTCTAATTATATATCATACCTCTTATTGAGCTTCCTAAAATAATTTATTGATGCAGATTACACGTAATCAAAATAATATTTAAAATATAAGATGTACAGTATTGTGTTGCTGTAAGAATATTTAAATTAGAAAATACTATTCGTTATTTTATAATTCGAATTAAATTGTTAAAATTATTTATTCTATCTATACATTATAAAATAGCAAAATTATTTATTCTATCTATTTAAAAATAAAAAAAAAAAAAAGTTTTAGAGACAATTTTATATTTATTTTTGTTGTAATACTCTGAAAAAAATAGAGGGAGAGAGAGAGAGAGAGAGAGAGAGAGAGGAGAGGGGAGAGAGAGAGAGAGAGAGAGAGGAGAGAGAGAGAGAGAGAGAAGGCAGAGAGAGATCTATACGGTTTTCTTCGTCTAATTATCTACGTAATGTAACATTTCTGCCATTCTCATTCGTACCATTTCATTCTTATTTGTTCGAAACACCGTGTAGGCGTCGAGAAAGAAAATGTTTGTTCTCAGAATAGCAGATAAAAAGAATTGACGTCATTTAAATTTTTCGACACTCGTTAGAGTCGATACTCGAATGCTGCGTTATTAAAAATTAAAATTTAATCTATATTTACAGAATAAATTATATATCACAACTTCGAGAGAAATTGGAAAGAAGACAAATTAAAGAAGTTTTAAATTTGATTCTGTTTGAATTTTTTGCAATCGGAACTAAACCTTCATTGCAAAATATCTAATTTGATTACAATATTGTATAATAACACTTTTAAATAAATATAATTAAACTGAATATATATTATTTAAAAAATCGTTATAATTATTTAAATGCTCAAATGCAGCACTAACAATTTTTTTTATTTTCTGGAAGGGAATTACTGCAGTGACTTCTCTTTTTTCAATTAACTAATATTAGGAAAAATAATACTGATATTAAAAAAAAATGTATTTTTTGAAAGTTCTAAAGTATCAAAAGTTAATATAAAATTGAAAAATGGCGCGCGCTTTCGTTGTTCTAGTCATATAAAATTATGACAATAACACCCTATAATTATTTTTATAATTTTTATTTTGCAATATGTATATGCGAATAGAATGAGCGAGATTAAAGATAAATTTCGTGCTTTGAAAAAAAAAAGCGTAGACACGAATAGATGTGAGTTATTCAGTTGCGAAACTCGTTAAATCCCTTATTGTAAATTGTACGGAAGAAAATTGAAAAAAATTGATTATTTATTTATTAAATTAATAATTTATTATAATGTTGCACACACAAAGATGTATCATCGCGTTAACGATTAAATTCTTGAAAATGTTAAAAGCTTTAAGTTACTAAAGATGCTTTAACTTACATCATGTATAGCAAAGCGTGAATAATGGTAAATGTAAATGATAAAACATTAAGATGATAATTGTATACGGATGTCGTTAATATTAATGACATTAATAAGAAGTACGACGATGGGGAAATAAGAATAAACGCTTCTTTACATGGGAGGGACGGTCGGATTGAAATGAGCGGAAATGAGTAAATGAGTGCGTTTTTCATTTGGACACCGATTTTCTCTGTAATCGCACTCATCCGCCGTGACTATATATACATACATACATATATCCTACGTATACTCTACATATAACGTACGTAAAATTTATGAGAAAATTTAATTCAATATAAATTTAATATAAAGTTTTCCACCGAAATATTTTATCTTGTGAATTACTTTACGAGTTGAATCACTGTTAGGAATGATTAATTATCCCATAATTACAAAGACGATATATTTAGACAATGCGTTTTTTCTTTCTCTCTCCTTTTTTTATAAATTTGAAATACTGCGAGAAAAGGGAAGAATAAAAATATAGAAGGCAGGTCCATTACTTTCACGTCGCCGGCATGAACCGCTTATTTATTTTCATCAGAGTATTATTTTTCCTGGCAGATTTTTCTCTGGATCTTTCTTCTCCGGCAAAAAAAAAAATATCTGAGCAGTTTAGAGTGCGTGAATCGCGGGATAGATGCGTATAGACAAAGTTATAAGCAAAAGAGGGCACTAAGAATCACGGTGCACAACACTCAACACTTGATTTCATAAAAATTTATAATTTAGTATCCGAATAGATTAAAGTGAAACAACAATTTGTCGGTTTCCTTCCAATCTTCCAGAAAATTGTAACAATATAAATACAACAAAAGAGATAAGGGATCTTTCCGCGCTTATATATTAATCAGAGAAACTCTTATAAAATTCTTCCAATACCATATTGTCCTACGATTATCATGATTTTCAGGGTAAATTCTAAGAGAAAATTCTCTCAACGCGCGTAGACGTTTGTATTCTCTCTCGTCCGGAGAAGTGGAAAAATTCGCACGAGAAATCGGACGAAAAAATCGTAAGCACGTACATGCATATATGTGTGGGGGGTTGCAGCAATAGGCGATCCTAATTATTACTTGCTAATTCTCACCGGCAATCGCAATACAGCAATGGCACACGCTCACGCGCGACCAAATGCTAAATAATATGGGAACTTTCTACAAACGCGCGGTGCGGCTTTCTATCGGCCACGGTCGGAATTGGAAAAATGCCTATGTGGGTCAGCGTCGCCGCTGTACCGCCGCCACGAAAATAATATATTTCTGAAATATCGCCGCTCTCTCTCCCTTTTTGTTTGTTGCGCGGATGCAAGAAAAGGGACTATGGGGGAAAAACATTTCGGTCTAAAATCGTCCAAAATCTCTCCGACTCCTCTCATATACAGTTGCTTTATTTCGATCAGATGGAGAGCTTAAATCGCTCGCCGCCAATCTTTAATCCGGGATCGGGCTGCGCACGATTTTCACTCGGCGATTTTTCACGATTAGGCCTGTGCGACACAAAACGTGCCGGAGAGAAAGCTCGCGCGGCTGCGACTGCATCATCACGATTAGAAATCAAGGAAGAATTTATTCTCCTCGGAAATGGATTTATATCTTTGAAGGTTCAACACATCATTAGCTTCGAAAGAGAGAGAGCAACAGAGATGCAAAGTATCAAAACTATCGAATTGTTTTAATACACTAAATGAGAGATTTTTTAAATTGATTAATAATAAGATATTTCTCTCTTCAAATATTTTAAAAGAGGTAATTCATTAATTAAACTTTTAGATTATTTCACACACAAAAGTAAAGATAAAAAGTAATAATGTAACTAATTAATAGATGTCTGAAATTGTACAAGATTATGTCAAAAAATTCCAAAAAGAAATATATATACAGAAAATTGATC